ACCATCCTCTCTATACATCAGCTCTCTAGTGGACATATCACATTTATCATGTTTTGATGGTTTATCGGTATATTGACACCGCATTCCTTCTATTACATTAAGAATGACATATTTTCTTGAAAACTTCTTGGACAGGTTATCTGTGTATTGTCATGAAACAGTTTCAGAAAGTCTTGGTTGACATATTACGTTATGTGGGTAACTGGAAATGTTATGGATCTTGTACTGAGGTAAACATAATTGCATAAGTAGTCATGATTCTGTGTACGTCCGATCAGTGCTGCTATATTCAGAACTTCAAGTAATATAGTTTCACACTACCCAGTTTATTCCAATCATGTATAGAGTACTTTTGTTTTCTTAGTGGAAATCAATCCATGTAACAGGTCATGCTTGGTTAATAATCTTTATATGTTTGGGAGCCTTTTGTTTTGTAGGTCAAACTTCTTGGTTTTGTACCTCTATTTTGTAATAGTTATGTAGGAAGGAACTTTACTCTAGTTTTGTGGATATAAATTTAGGTACCGTGCTAGTTTTAGAACTTCTGCACAAATCCTTTTGTGCAATATCATTGTACACCTTATAATATTTCTAACGAAAGGAGGGAAAAAGGGAAAAAAAAGAAAAGACAAGAAAAGAAAAGAAGAGACAGACACTGTTAAAATATCTACGCTTGCTTGCCATTTTGATCTTCATCTTAGTTTCAGACGCAAGCTGCAAGATGTGTTCTTACTCATGTCAATTTTTTGCAGAATCCATGAAGAACTGATGTCATCCTCTTAGTATGGACTCCCACCGGCCTCTCAAATATGGATTAGCTGATCCAAAATCATCTCCTCCCCCATATTCTACATGGACAGTGCACCGCATGAAATTTGATCTTGGGAACTCACCAAACTCACCTCTTTCTACTCATTTCGAACCTGATACTTTATCAATACCGGGCAACAGCCAGGAGCTACAATACAGTTCTACAGAGACCATCTCAGGGCACAGCCCCTCTCGATACTCATCTCCACTCAATCAATCTCAACAAGTTCAAATTCGAGAGAGCACTCAAGTTTGTTCCCCATCACCCTACTCAGTTTCAAGCCAGAGCATGAGATATGCTCTTCAAGAAATAGAGACAGTTCTTATGGCTCCTGACACTGAAGAAGGAACAACCAGCTCTAACCCTGAGCCTGATGATAAGAAGCAGCCTCAACCTCAGCTGATAAAGCAGCGGTCTCGAACTTGGAGTCCTGAGATCCAGCAAATGAGCCAAGAGATTATCCGACCAGAGAAGCGGCAAAGAGAGACAAGGGAACTCACAAGGAGTGGCAATGATGTGAAGCAGCTTCTCATCAAGTGTGCTGAAGCCTTAGCTGAGAACCGAATAAATGACTTTGAAACGTTGAAAGAAGAAACACGAACCTTTGTTTCTATAAATGGGGAGCCTATCCAGAGGCTCGGTGCTTATATGCTCGAAGGTCTGGTAGCTCGTCGTGAGAACTCAGGCACTAATATCTACCGAGCTCTAAGGTGTCATCAGCCAGAGAGTAACGAACTCCTGTCCTACATGAAAATTTTATATGACATCTGCCCTTACTTCAAATTTGGATACATGGCTGCCAATGGAGCTATAGCCGAAGCACTGAGGAACGAGGATAAGATACACATCATAGATTTCCAGATTGCACAGGGCACACAATGGATAACTCTGATACAGGCTTTAGCCGCTAGACCTGGTGGACCCCCTCATGTTAGAATCACAGGAATTGACGATCCAGTATCAGAGTATGCTCGAGGAGATAATTTACAACCAGTTGGAAAAATGTTATCTGACATGTCCAAGAAATTCAACATTCCTCTCGAATTCACCCCTCTGCCAGTCTATGGACCTGCTGTTAAAAGAGAGATGCTCGATATAAGGCCAGGAGAAGCTCTCGCTGTTAATTTCACTCTCCAGCTTCACCATACTCCAGATGAGAGTGTCGATGTGAATAACCCTAGAGATGGGCTGCTGAGGATGGTGAAGGGTTTATCGCCAAAAGTGACGACTTTAGTCGAGCAGGAATCAAACACTAATACAACACCATTCCTGACGAGGTTTGCTGAGACCCTAGATTACTATTCTGCCATGTTTGAATCAATTGATGATACATTGCCAAGGGATAGTAAGGAGAGGATCAGTGTGGAGCAGCATTGCTTAGCGAAGGATATCGTGAATGTAGCTATTGGGGAAATGGAGATCGAGGCTAAGTATGGCAGGGTTTAAGCCTTACCCTTTGAGCTCCTATGTGAATTCTGTGATCAAGACTTTGTTAGGGTATTACAAAGATAAGTACACTTTGGTTGAGAAGGATGGAGCTCTGCTGCTTGGTTGGAAGAACAGGAATTTGATCTCTGCATCAGCTTGGCACTGAGATGTAAGTTTTAGGGAATAATTGTAGAATACGGAGCGTAGAGATCTAAACACTGAGCACAACTTAAAACCATCGTATTATATGTATCTTTGTAGTGATGTATTAATGTCATGATGCAGGGAGGTGTTGTTCATTTGATGTTGTATGTGATATCGTGTAAATTCTGCATCTATTTGTAATCTATATAATCTATATATCGGTTGGATAAATGAAGTTTATTTTAGTGTGCTTGCTTATAAAATCTAGTTGGATGGAGATGGAGATGAACCCGTTACTAATTGTGAATGCCATCAGGCGAGAAGCGATCCTGGGAGATTGAGTTACCTTGTGAATGAGTGCCAATGTTCATGTTCGTTGCATTTGATCCGTCCGGGTTGATTTGAATCAGATTGTGTTGTGTTTTAGATGGATATATCTGGTAAATATCTAAATTTTGAAGGGGGTATTGTTATCGTTTTTGCAAAAAAGATTTCCAAAATCTGAGCTGTGTGTGTGAGTGTGCACACACACATTGTAACCTAGTGGCTACATTTTTTTAAAACAAGTCATAGGTGGTGGCGTCAAGGCTTGCCGAAGGCAAGCGCTGGGGTTGAGGTGCAATGGGTGCTTTATAGGTGCAGCATGTTGGCATCGGGGCGCAGAGCTGGCAGCAACGCAGGCTATAGTTACAGAGAGACTGTTGTGCTTGTAATTTGACCAGACTAATTAGTCTAGTGTGACCTTTAACTTTTGAGTGATTTGTTTAATGAGCTTATTAAACAAATCAGTTAATGGTATAGTAGGCTGATATGGGTGTATCTTCTTCCTTACTTCGGGAGCTTAGCGATCCTCATAGGAGCTTGAGAATAGATGATTCTCATGATATCTTGAGAATAGAGACGTGGACGAAGTCGTTGAAGGTGGCAAAGACGAAGATTACGGAAGAAACTGCAGGAAACGTTTTGAGCTTCCAGCGGTCGACCTCATGTGACGCCGCGGACGACCACGAACTTGCACAAATCCTGGGAGGCCTCTGGACTTTTGGCTGTCGATCGTAACGACGTGTGCGGTTGACCGGTCAAACCCTGTAATAGGTTTTGGTTTCCGTCGTTGGATCTGGTCGACCGCGATGGTGACGATTTCCTGAGCCTTCCTGGTTTGTTTGGGACTCTGTTTTCCTGTTTGATTTTAGTTTGTTTAATTATAAGTTTGTCATCCACGTTATAAACTCTATAAAGATGATTGTTTTAGGGCTAAACAATCAGAGAAATCAGAGAGGTGAGATCCTAACCAAGAGATTAGGGTTTAGAGAGAATTGGGAGATTGTTTTTGGTTCTAGAGAGATTGTGAGAGAGGGGTTTGTAATCTATTATTCTCATAATCTAGATAATGTATTTTCCTTCGCCAAAACTAAATTGTTCTTGTGTTTTTTATCGTCTTCTTCTCAACCCACTCTTGATAATTCCGCGATCATGGGTGCTCGCTCGGCGACTCGTATCAAGTTGGTCCTTACCCGATCGTAATACAAGAAGCTAGGCGAGATCCTTATTTCTTTGGAATGAGTTCTGAGATTAAGGAAGAAGAATATGACTGAAGGGGATAGTTCAGCGAGACTTGATGCATTGGAGAAACAGATAGAGACAATGGGTTCGGCTCTCACACAGCTCGTCAATCTTTTCCAAGGAAAGGACAAAAAGGAAGAATATTCTTCGAAAGGTAAGAAGAAACTTGTAGAGTCTGATGGGGAGGTCGAGGAATCTGATTCTGATGAGGAGGTCGAGATTGTCAAGACTGTTCCGCATCAAGGGGGTAAGGGTTCTTACCAGAATTTGAAAGTAGACTTCAAGGTGGAGATTCTTATTTATGATGGGAGTGTCAACGTCGAGAGGGTCGATGATTGGATTGAGCGGATGGAGATATATTTTACCCTCACGGATATTCATCCAAGGAGAAGCTCGTGTTCGCGACTTTAAAGCTTTCGGGGTATGCATTGACATGGTAGAAATCCTATTGCAAGCAGGAAAAGAAGACGGTGTCGTGGAACAAATTCAAGGAGCTACCGAGGAAACAGTTCTACCCGGTGGGGTTCCTTGAGGAGCGTTGGTACAAGTGGTACGGCTTGCACCAAAGAGTCAATCAAACCGTTTAAGAATGCATCACGGAGTTCCAGGAGCAGACGATGATCCTCAATAATTCAACGTAGAAATATTCTATGTTTATGAAGTATATGGCGGGTTTGAGCAGGTACATTCAGAATGAGATGAAGCTATTCACGGTGGAATCTATTGCAGAGGCGAGCGTGAAGACTATTGTCATCGAAGGCAAGCAAAAGAGGAGCAACGAACCCAAAGGAGAGGCTAAACAAACTGGAGGTGAGTCTAGTGGTTCTCAATCCAAGGAGGAGGAGAAGAAGGGTGATCCAGGAAAAGCAAGGCTGATTTGTAGTCATTGTGAGAAGACATGACACGTAGCTGATCGGTGTTGGGAGAAGTATCCTCATATCAAATCAAGGGGGTTGAAGAAAAAGGAGGAGAAAAAGGCATACGTGATAGCTCAAGTTCTGAAAAAAGTCCCGAGGATGACAGAACCCAATAATAGTCTCAATCTTATGATGGGGAAACAGATCACGAAAGAGGATGACAACCCTAAAGAACAGCTCTTTATTCTTAAGGTGCAGGTGAAGACCAGTTTGGTTGATACCATAGTTGATTCAGGTAGCAAGAAGAATTTGATATCTATGGCCTTGGTTCAGAAGCTGGGTCTGAAGATAGTCAAGTATCCAAAGCCCTATCCATTGGTTGGATTCAGAAGGAGACAGGACTGAGTGTAGTTGATCAATACACTTTCAGATTTACGCTCCATGAGTCGTATATTGACGAGGTCACATGCGACGTAGTTCCATTGGATGTTTGTCAGGTTATACTAAGAAATCCCTATTTATGGAATTGATATGCGATCTACGAGAGGCGGGCTCAGAAGTACACATTCATCAAAGATGGTGAAAAGTTTATATTTCGTTCGGCATCTCTTCTGAAGGAGACAAACTTGGTGACGGTGAACCGAGCGAAGAGGTTAGTGAATGCAAGCAAGAAATTTGTTGCGCTATGCATTAGTTCTTACGAGGAGCCACTGAAAGAGGGTTGCAATTTGGAGCGGAAGGTGACTACGACGAGACGTAGGACGAAGGAGTTGTTTCTGATCGGATGTCGAGACCAGATTCCTAGTAAGGCCAAGTGGTTCAGAAAAGAAGGAGTGGCTCGCGAGTTCACTCTTCTATAGTTCTAACTTGAACGGGACTTTAAGTTTCTAAAGGGGGGAGCCATAATACGGGTGTATCTTCTTCCTTGCTTCGGAAGCTTAGAGATCCTCATGGGAACTTGAGGATAGATGATTCTCATTATATCTTGAGAATAGAGACGTGGACGAAGTCGTTAAAGGTGATAAAGATGAAGATTACGGAAGAAACTGCAGGAAATTTTTTGAGCTTCTAGCGGTCGACCGCACGTGACGCCGCGGTCGATCGCGAACGTGCACAAATCCTGGAAGGCCTCTGGACTTTTGGCGATCGACCGTAGCGACGTGTGCGGTCGACAACCCAAACCATGTAATAGGTTTTGGTTTCTGTCGTTGGATCCGGTAGACCGCGATGGTCTCTGCGGTCGACCGCGATGGTTTCCTGAGCCTTTCTGGTTTGTTTGAGACTCTATTTTCTTGTTTGATTTTGGTTTGTTTAATTACAAGTTTGTCATCCATGTTGTAAACTCTATAAAGAGGATTGTTTTAGGTGTGACGCCCCTGGGTTCACACAATGCTGCAATCCAAAGTGAAACCAGAGATGTCAAACTTGTCATGCACCCACACTGTGCATAAACATGTTTCACCAATCACAGCAATATTCTCTAGTGAAACCAAATATAAGTGCAAGTACAAAATAGGCAAAATAAAGGGAATAAATGTAATAGACATGATATAGAAGAGATATCTCATAAAAAAGAATCATATCTCAACTATAATATATCTATTATCTGAATAATGAAAATGACTTAACATGAATCAACTAAAAATCGTACTAAGGCACACTGCCTTTACAATATGAATATGAAACTCTAATGTCTGAATAAAACTCAAAACTACAGTGGAGTCTCTACAAGTAAAAATACGCGACGGTGACTATGCCAGAACTTCGTCACCCTGCGGCTCTCCGAAACTCCGAACTACCTGAAAAGTAATTTAAAAGAAAAAGAACAACAATAAGAACGTCAAAGTGCTACAGCAAAATTACATCCATCTGCCCCAGGGGAAGGGCTGCTAGATGGAGTGAAGGCTCTATCTATTAAGCATAGTCTACCTAGATTCATTTCCCCGTATCTAAGTGGGATTAACATTTAGAAATCTACAACACGAGATGTAGTACATCGAGCGAAATAATCTAAACAAGGAAACCCTCATATATATACCATATATCTCAAGTTGTGAATCTCTAATCATTGATTCCAACTAAGAAATAAAGAAGGCAGTAAAAGAAATTGGACATCAACACATCGTATTTATAATATCTTCCACTATCACTAGAGAGATAGAATAAAATACCAACACATAATTTTGTATACTTTCAAAAGCAACGTATCTCGGTCATATAGCTCAGTGGCAGGTCGTATCTCTACATCTGTCATACTTAGGCTATCAAGTAACTGTCTCAGTACAACGGACTACCCTGTAGGTATCCTGAACTGTGTACACGGCTCATTAGTCTCATCGCGATCTCAGTGCGTAACATGAACGCGGGACGGACTACTAAATAGGCATCCTATAAATACGATTCACGAGCCTCATTGCACCCTAGTACGGGACGGACGGCTAGATCAAGCCTCCTAAAATCCGATTCAATGGCCTGTACATGTGGAATATCGACACACTATCTCATGTAGTACTGAAATGAGCTCATCAACGATATCCACCTCATATAAATCTTTGTATATCTGGTATGTCGACGCACTATCCCATATAGTACTAAGCTGTACTCATCAACGACATTCACCTTATGTATAAACCGTGTATATCTGGTATGTTGACGCACTATCCCATATAGTACTGAGCTGTGGTCATCAACGACATCCAACATGTATATGAACGATATCTAATTCAAATATGATCAAATAAAAATTTATCATAATCCCTTTGGTATTCTAAAATATGTAACACAACATATTCATAACTATATGTGTAACATCAAACGGCTCAAAACTCCGCAAACGCATCTCAAAACGGCGCAACACAGCTCCACAAAACGAGCAGGAAAATAGACGGGACTTTTGTTAGTAAAACAAATATATCTTTCTCTAGAAATACTATTTTTACAAATGGTTTTCTGTTTTGAAAACTAGATTCACACATCTTTCAAATGGCATAAAGTTGGTTCAGTTTGGAGTTCATCTGTTATCACAAATCTCCAGTTAAACATTATACATGTGCAGCAGTTTTTCTGCAGGACATATTATTAGTAAACATAACATATCTTTCTCTATAAAAACTCTTTTTAAGAATGATTTTCTGTTTTAGAAACTAGATACATATATCTTTCATTTGGAACTAGTTTGGTTAAATTTAGAATTTATTTGCTATTTTAAAATATCAGTTAAAAGTTATACAAGTGCTACAGTTTTCTGCAGAAAATATATATTTAGTACATCACTTAAATTTCTCCTATATAAATAAAATTATGAATAACCCTAATGATAATGATCATGATACTATCATAAATAGTAAGAAAAGATTACTAATATAGCATTGATTTAAGATTTACTATCAAAAATATGATTTTTAACACCTCAGGTTAAGATTAAAGCATGAAAACACATATTCAACATCATATTAATCATCTATACTAGTTATTTAACTATAGAGATAGGTTTGAATGAATATAATCTTACCTCAAATATTGTTCTAAGCCTCTGAGATAAACAGCAAGCAATCCACGAGCATAAACAACCCGTTCTCTCTTGTCACACGTCGAAGATCTCGCCCTCGTGTCGGTATTGTGCTCCACAAAGCTCTTAAAATTCATAAAAAAATATATCTAGGGTTTTGAGAAGAGATGGTGGCTGTTAGGGTTCATAAATATAATAAAAGAGAGGGATTTTTGTGAAAAACATATGTATTTATAGAGGCAAACCCGAAACAAATCTGTTTGACCCGAATCAGGAAACCTAGTTTGACTAGAAAAATAACCTTCGGTATTTTGGCCATAACTTTCATATCCGACCTCGACATGAGGTGATATAAGATTTGTTAGAAAGCTCTTGAAGAGACCTACAACTTTGATCTTTTAAGTTTTTCCATATTCCAACTCCTTCGGTGTGAAAAATACATATACTTTTAACTGGTCGTTTTCCCCAAATTTAGGCTCGTGCACGTGTGCATGATACCACTTCTATATTCACATATATACATTGAATTGATCTCAAATTAATTCCTAGCATACTCAAATATTAATAAATATTATTTTTTTCATAATGTAACACATTTATTATTTATTATAAAATATTCAATTTTTTGGGGTTTTACATTAAGGTTCTAAACAATCAAAGAAATTAGAGAGGTGAGATCCTAACCAAGAGATTAGGGTTTAAAGAGAATTGGAAGTTTGTTCTTGATTCTAGAGAGATTGTCAGAGAGGGATTTGTAATCTATTATTCTCATAATCTAGATAAGGTATTTTCCTTCACCAAAACTGAATTGTTCTTGTGTTTTCTATCATCTTCTTCTCAACCCACTCTTGATAATTCTGCGGTCAATGGTGCTCTCTCAGTGACTCGTATCATAGGCTCAGTGGGTGAAATTGATCTAACATTTGGATTGTTCTCAATAATTGGTTGGCAACTCCGTTGGCCTTTTTGTTTTGATGATGTTTTAACAAATAATTTATAACTAATATTGTTTGTCTAGTATTTATATTTTCATATTTATTCTAGGCAAATAATATGTTGGAGGATGAATGGAATTGCGCCACAACGATCATATCCAATGAAGGTTGGCGGAATATCGGTATGAAGCCTTGCACATTCAAGTTAAAGATCCAAGATCAAGCTTCATCTGCAAAGTGTACCAAGTTGAGTTACATAGAAGATCAATATAGGTTGAGTAATTTAGTTTAGGTTTTATATTATGTGTGTTGGTACTTTAAGCTCAATCATATATACACATACACGTTTTTGTTTGTTTATATATATATATATACTTGTTTCATGTTTATATGCTTATATATGATTTCATCAATATCAAGTTTATTTAATTCAATAAAATAATGTTTTATTGCATAATATGTGTATTTTGATAAAACATTGTGTTTTTGGTTTATAGACTTAACAACAATAGTTTATATCTTTTATCAAGTCTATATAATTATTTTATAAAGTTTTAAAACATGGTTTAGTCAAAACATTAAATTTCAAGTATGTTCATTTTCATATTTTGGATTATTTTGTAACATGTTTATTTTCATGTTTACAACCATTTCCTAAAGTTTTATATTTTTCTGAATTTGTTTATTATTTTTAAATCAAGTTTAAAAGTCAGAAAACTGTTTTTAAACCTGGGTATCTGATATATCTGTTCGCAGTCAACCAGAGTGGTCGCGGCGGGCGGCCGCCAATTGTCCAGAGACCCAGTTCTGTTTTTAGCCATTCGCGATCGACCGGACGTGTCTCTACGGTCGACCATCGAAGTAGTCGTTGCACAGTAATGACTAGTTTCTGGTTTTGTTGTTTTGTGGGTTTTAGGGGTTTTCTTGGGTTATTTTCTTCTATCCTATATATACCCCCATTGCATTTATCATTCCTACCTAACAAGAGAGATTTAAAAAGAGTTTTAAGTGTGTTTAAAAATTTTGTTTAGTATGTTTACAAGTTTGTGAAGAAATTTTCACAAGAGGAAGAGGAGATCGTCTTTGGTGTTTGAGCTTCATTCCATTCTCTCTCTCGCTCTTGATCTATAGAGAAATTTTCCTAAACTCTTTCTAGCTTTATATTTATTTGTTTGTTAATCATTTTTATTAAAGCTAGATTTATATTGAGTTTAGATTTGTTTTACTCATTGCTTACACACACAACCATTGAGCTTTAGTATTTTTATACATAGTATATTTGGGTTGTGGGGTTGTGTCTTGAGAGTGAGTTTATTTGTGTTCTCATCCATATTAGAGAATAAATTATTGTATTTGTGCTTTTATTGTGAGGATGCACTTTGTAATACACTTGTACACCGAGAGGAGTGTGTGGTGAGAGACGGGGTCGTCCTAAGAAGAATAGCGTCGGTAGTAAAATTTAGGGAGAGGTTGTAAATCCGAGCACTTGAGGGAGACACGGGTTAAAGACCAACACTTAGAGGGTGTAGAGTGAGATTGCAAGAGTGTTGATTGTAAAGTTTTCGGTGAGCTAGAAAACCGAGTGTGAGGTGTAAACGTTTTTGGGTGATCGTCGAAAATCTGGTGTGATAGTGGATTTCTCCCCGATAGTGGGGAGCGGAGACGTAGGACGGAAGGTCCGAACTCCGTTATCATCTTTGTGTGTTTGTGATTGCCTTGGCGTCTCACTTGTGCTTATTGTTCATTTCACTCTTGTCGCTATTGTCTATTGCTCATAGTGACCACTATCTTGTTTATTTTGTAGTTTGTTTATTTTACCCTTTGTTTACATTGTTTATCCTTGCATATAATTGTTGTATATCTTATTTGCTATGATACCTTATTAATAAGTTTTTAATTTGTATTAAATCGGATTAGATTAGCATAAGTCCTATTTACCCCCTCTAGGGTTCTTTCCTAGTGGCATTAGGGTCTAACAAACTCTAGTGCTAAGTCAAAGATCTATATAAAGCCCTCAGCTTAACACCAAAAGGGCACAAGCTCTTTCACTTATCCTCTAGGAACTGTATTGCCAATTTGAGTCCAATTCCATGTCAGATCGAGGATGTCATATTCTAAAGTCTAACAGAGGAGGTCGTCTAGTGCGTGAACTTGATCAAGGTAATCATGGAGGGTCTAATTGGTGAAGACCTTCTCTCTTTCTTGTGCTCAGATCAGCATTATTTTTTCCCTCTTTCTTTTCTTTTTCCGGATTCAGCCATGTAAGAAGGATACATGGAGTTTACCATAGGATAAGGTTCTATCTTTAGGATCTTACCCTTATCTATCTTGATAGATGATTCAGAAATCAAAACCACCTTATTCTTACGGATATTTCTTTGTCTCTATTATATTACTAAATTGTTTTAGAAAAGGTTTTACAACAAAGGTGACTATTCATGTTTGGATTAAAATTAAAAAAAAACAATAGTTTCTCTTTTGTCTATTAATTTTAAAGTAATCACAAGCTTACTTATTTCCCCTTTTTTTATACTTAGTTTTGCTAATGCTTTTTTCTTTAATTTGTTTTGTTTTTGCATTATTATTATGATAACAACATTCCCCAATCCAAAGAAGAGCACTTGTTCCTTCACGCGCAGCAGGCTCTTGCATGGCGCGTGCCCAGTCATTCCCCAGTTTTCCCTGCTCGTATATATAGACTCTGTATGTTTTACACGATCATATAATTTTTACTTCTAAATAATTGAAATTTAATTTAAATGTGCAATGTAGTTTTGCATTTATCTTCACGTAGATTCAGGAACCACACAAAAAAAAAGATAAAACAAATATCAAAAACACAAAAAAAGGGACTAAACAATTAATCATATTTCGGAAAAAAAAGTGAACCGCGTTTCCTCGGAGAACAATCGGTGCCCGATGACTTAATTAAAATATCTCCGATTAAAAACAGCAGCTTAAATCTACAACGAGGTTAAATTCCAAACATAAAAACAAAACAAAGAAACAAAAAGGGGGGAAAAAACCCTTCAAGATAACAAACCTTCTCTGTTCTTCACTAATTCTAGTAAAATTTTCTAGAGCTATTAGAAAGAAGAAGAAAAAAGGGCAAAAATTGGATTTCTCAAGTGTAAAAGATCTACAAATGCTGAGACATCCATGACGCGATTGCTCAACCCAAAGCCTAATCAGCCCTTCAAAAACGACATCAACAAAACATAAGCTGCGACAAAATTGTTATTTACCTAATTAGTACTATGATCACTAAACTTACTATCCCGGACCCAGTCAATCTCAGTTCGAAGCAGAGGAAGAACCAGCCATCGCCATCTTGTGCCGGAGCAGGGCCACCTGCTCCTCGGAGAAAACACAGCACCCCTTCTTATAAATCAAATCCTGAACCATCGAAGAGTTCATCATCACCTGCAGCATCTGCTGCCTGTTCAGCTCCAGACGCCCCGAAACTTCATCGACCGCCACGATCATCTGACCTCGACGACTGAACCGCATTGTCTGAAGAGCGGTGACCTGAGCTTCCAAGAACTGATGTACTGTATGCGCCTCCTCGAGCATCGGCCCCCTCGTCATCTTACGTTTCCAAGGCATCAGCCCCTCGAGGATCGTGACCCGGTCGCTCATCTTGCTCCTCCTCTGCCTCCCGATCTCGTTCGAACGAGTTAAGCGGGAGCCGGAGATCGGGACGCTGAAACGGGTAGGGTTGGGGTCTGGAGGCGCCGGCGACGATCGGAAGCGTTTGTTTGAAGAATCGACGACTGAGAAGAGATCGCCGGGGGAGATCGAAAGTGGCGGAGCAGCGAAGGGATCTGGCGCGTGATGCTCCAGAGAGAGCAGATGCGGAAGTGGACAGAGCTTGTAAGAGGGATTATGAACCGCATTGAACGCCATTGATTCTGATATAGGAGCTTCGAGATCGGAGACCGGATCAGAGACGTTCTGAGAAGATGAGCCTCCGGCGAGTTCAAGACGGAAGTTGCGGATGCAGGCGGCCGAGGCGTCGGGAGCGGCGAGAGAAGTAGAAACTAGGAGGTTAGTGTCCTGCTCCATTAGTTCTTGTTTCGGAGCTTTAAGCCTCGAGATCGGATCCGAGAATTTCTCGGCGACGATCCGAGAGGATGAAGCTCCGGCGAGTTCTTGGTGGAAGATTCGGCTGCCTGAGGCCGCTGCGTTGGGAACTGCGAGGGACGGAGAAACGAGGAGCTTAGTGACTTTTTTCCTTTGCTCCATTTTAAAGAAAAACTCAAGAAACCCTAACACAGATAATGAAAATATTGAAAAGAGGAAGAAGAAGCTGCGGTAGAGAACAAGAATGAGGATCATCCAGAACGCGTGAGGCGGCGGCGTCTTTATACAGAGGATCAGTGGACACGTGGACGTCAGGCGTCAGCGGGGCTCAGTTTGTTGTTTTGTCGGTTGGGACCACAGAGCAGGAACTGCAGCAACGTCCTTGGTGACCAGAGCTACCGGTCGCTTTACCGGTCGACTGCTTTCTTTCCTTGAGTGAATATTGACCGTTGGATTTATTCCGTTGGGTGCAACTTTTGATCGCACGGGTAGAAGTTGTGCAGATGTTTGGGACTATCGTCGGGCGTGCACCTGCCAGCTGTGGACGGAAATACGTGGACGTACACCTTTAAATTAATGAGGTGGCATTCTAGTAATATTTGTAAACAGTAGGAGGAATTTGCCCGCGGGAATTTGTGCCTCCTATACGTGCTTTAAGAATTTTTCAAAATAATTAAGTTACTACTCTACTACATTTCATTCGGAAAAAAAGAACCATTCTACTACATAATTCAATAGAAGTATGCAAACGATGTTTTCCATTTCATTTGTTATTCGGTGACAAAAACATTTTATTTTTCTGAAATATAAGTTGGGATTTTGTGTTTATTATTTGATTGGATTACTGGCGCTTGGAATACACTTTAGTTTACCTTATTTTTAACTTTGAAATTCCAAATTGCTTTTTGCCTAAAAAAATACTTTAAGTTTAGCAAAATTTAACTTTGATACCCAATTTGTCACATGACTTTTTTTTAAAACAATTATATCTTGAAATAGTAAAAAAAAACTCCTCGTCCTTTATTGATCATCTACCTATTGGATTTTAAACCCATTGAATTAACAAAATAAACAATGAAATCCATACCCCCAAAAAAGAAAATCCATGTTTAACTCGTGAAAATTCTAGCTTTTTGTTGTGCCAGCAATTCAATTTTGATACTAACAGTTAGATTTTTTTTTTTTTTTTTAACTCTATAAGTGTAATTTTGTAGTTAGGTGATCGAGGGTCACTTAATTAGTGAATGAATAACTAAGAGATTATATGCATGTAATGACGTCGTATATTTTTAGGCAGCTTTCTTTGCGGTAGAATTATTTTTATATTATTTTTAAAACAGTGAGGCCTAAGTTAACTATGAGAGTGATAAGATTTGCGATCAGAAATGGAGTAGATATTCGATATGCCGCGTGTCAGGTTTATTTTCATTAGTAATGACTTTATTAATTAACATGTTGTATATTCAGCTATTACGCCTTGAGGCTTGAAGAAGGGGATTGGGTTCCATGTTTAATGTTGAACATTGTTTTTTACGGGATCATTTTATTTTTTTTTTTTTTTTTGG